TAAACACTGTGTTCACTATTGAAAGCAAAGCTAATGTGATCCTGATTTATCAGGAAGATAAAAATAATATAGCAAGAGATGCAATGCTGTATGCTGAAATATATCATGATCATCCTTCACACTAGATATTTGGGATACTGTTTGAAAAACTGAGATCTAGGAAAATTTGGCTCCTTGTAAAAGTGACTGATGTGTGGGAGCTGCCCACATTCAAACAAGCGTGACAATGCAAGCTTCATTGCTTAGCAACGACGAGTAAACAGCGGTTGCTAGGCAAAGCCTACAACAATACTGACAGTGACATGTTTTCTATACGTCCGACTCTAGGCTACATAGGAAGATACATTGAGTGGAAGCTACAGTTACGGTTCTAGGTTCTACAGTTCTACAATTCTAGTTCAGTGTGTTCATTATTGTCATTATTATTCTTCAATTCTTCAAACGAAAGTTCATCTGTGTATACGGTGCAACTGCAATAAATATTATAGAACCGTTCAACTAGTGGTTGTCTCTTCATAGGACATCCCACATTTCTCCCCCCCCCCCCTTGCGAGAAGTGATTCTGCTGCTTGCGAGTTGTCTGCGGTGTCCATGCTGCGCCGGGATGAACGAATGTGGGAGTCGTTGATGATCTTCACCATGCGCACTTCGAATCACGTTGGGGTCACCAATGTGGGATGTCATATGAAGAGACAACCACTAGTTGAATGGTCCTATAGTATTTATTACAGTTGCACCGTATACACAGATGAACTTGCGTTTGAAGAATTGAAGAATAATAATGAAAATAATGAAAACACTGAACTAGAATTGTAGAACTGTAGAACCTAGAACTGTAACTGTAGCTTCCACTCAATGTATCTTCCTATGTAGCCTAGAGTCGGACATATAGAAAACATGTCACTGTCAGTATTGTTGTACGCTTTGCCTAGCAACCGCTGTTTACTTGTCATTGCTAAGCAATGAAGCTTGTGTTGTCACGCTTGTCTGAATGTGGGCAGCTCCCACAGATGTAGTAAAATGCAATAGTTGTTTTCACTTCAGTAAATAATAATTCCAGCATTAGCTATAGGAACAATGAGCATAAATCTGGAATAAATCTGTTATGGATTTAGCTTCAATGTAAATTCCATTTATCACATTATCATGTACTTCACATAATACATTCACTCAGCTGGGCACTGATTCCCTTAATTGTATCAAATTTTGCCAGTGGGCACAACAAAACCTACAAGACAATCATTATTTCTTTGCTAAAGTGCTGTTCAACAATGAAGCAACATTTATTAATCATAAAAGTGTTCATTTACGCAACACGCACTGGTTATAAGTAAAATATCACAGTCAATGTCAGTACATGTTCGGAGTAGTATTTTGGGGCAAACAATTATTGATCCCCACTTTAATGATGGCCGATTGAACTGGCAAAAGTATGTTCCATTTCTGACATCATTACTGGAAGATGTGCCACTAAACGTGGATTCCCTCTTTAGTGCAAATCAAGAAATGTCATCTATGAAGATGAACCAACTACACCAAGTTAACATGACACAGACCACAACCATAATGTGCACTGCAGTAAGCCCTCATACGATTTGATATGCATGTGAGTTCTTTGGTGAATGTTTACAATATTCTATTACTGCTGAAGGTTACCATTTTAAGCATCTATTGTCAAATACTGTAAATTAAGCTTAACAGTAAATTGTAATATGAGAAGAAAAAACAGACAACTTGGATTTACAGGTTTCTTATGTGATCTTGAATAATTTTGTGAAGTATAGTATGTAATAAAATTCACATGTCTTCTGTACAATATCAAAAAATGCAGTGTCATTTACAAAATCCACAGTTACCTGGGTATCTCCATAATACCTCCAAGTACATAATACCTGTTCCCTTCTTTGACACTCAGCAAGCTCTGTCAGAAATGTTCCTTGATAACCTCAAAAATAATAGAGATATTTCAGGAGGCAAAAGTTATTGCCTCACTCTGTGTTTTTCACATAAATTAATACATTTGAGAACATGGAAAGCGCCAGATAACACAACTGTAAACCAAATAGATCATGTATTAGTAGATGCAAGATATGCATCATACGTGATAGATGTTAGGTCATGTCGAGGACCTAATTGTGATTCTGATAATTTTTACTCAAGACCAAAATCAGGGGAAATTATGCAAAAAAAAATATGAAACAAGGAAAGCTGTAATAAATAAATGGAACACAGATAAATTTAAGGGTGTGGAAACAAGAGCGCTGTACAGTGAAGAAACGAATAACAATTTAGAATTAGATAAAGGAAACTTTTTCAATAACAGAAAAATGGGAAAGAAGCAACAATAACTACTGCTGGAAATAAAATTATAGGGAATAGTACACATAAAAATGACAAAATGAATGATTCGATGAAGAGTGTAATAATAAGTAATAAAAGAAAAAAAGGAGTCTAGACAAAAGGCTCTTCAAAGAGACACATGAAAGAACTGGGAGAAATATACCCAGATGAGGGGGGGGGGGAAGAAAGAAAGAAAGAAAGAAAGAAAGAAAGAAATCTGCAGAGATAAGAAGGAAAAATGTATGAGATCTAAGTTTAATGAGATTGATGAGCTAAGTAAACAAAATTAAACTAGGAAGGTATAATATGGCAGTTAACAAACAAACAAACAAAGGATATCAACCACAGGCAATGGGATGCAAAGATAAAGATGGACTTATAGTGACACACCCAACAGAAGTCAAAACAAGGTGGACAGAATACTTCCAAGAACTGCTGGGTAGGAGGATGATAATGAAGACAAAGAGCTTAAAGACTATGAAAGGATAGAAGATGTTGAAAGCAGAACATATAGTAATAGAGATGAAGGCACCAACACCAGAGAAAAATGGACCAGATAATTAGGAAACATGAATGAAATAGATTACCTGGAGAAGATAATATAATGCCAGAAGTGCTTATTCATGCTGGTAAAAGTAAGTAAAAAAGTAAAGCTATCCCTGTAACAGGCTGTGAAGGCCCATAGGGTTGTGAGACGTTGAGGGTCCCACATTATCTAGACAATCGGCTCAAAGATTTAGAACTTAAAGAAGAATTATACAAGTTCATTAAAAAAATATGGGAAGAAAGCATACCACTGACTCGGAAAACAGGTTAAATTTGCCCCATTCATAAAGGAGACAAATCTTGACTGCAATAATTACAGAGGTATAACTTACTTAACACCACATACAAAATTGTGACAAGTTTGATAAATATGAGGATAATGCAGATTCCAGAAGACAAAGTTGGAGAATACCAGTGTGGTTTCCATAAAAAATGAAGTACAACAGATCAAATATTTGTGCTACATTAAACAACTGAGAAATTTCATTAGTATGGGATAGATTTACACATACTATTTACTGAGTATAAGAAAGCATTCGATGGTGTAAGAAGGAGCAAATTAACACAAGCTATGCATTAAATGGGAATATCAACAAAACTCATTAACTTAACAATGATGACACTACATGAAACATATGCTAAGAAGTTAGGAAATGAGACTGCAGAAAAGTTCAGGTATTACAGTGGTGTTAAGCAAGGTGATGGTCTGTCAACCACATTATTTAACATAGTATTACAGACTGCAATCAAAAAGGTAGACAAAAGTGGTAACATATTCACTAATTATGACTAGAACAAAAAAGTGATATGGAGACACTTTAGAAAAGAAAGCAAATCAGCTTGGCCTTTTTACAAACATAACAAAAACAAAGTATACATCTTAATACAACTAAACATGCAAATATAAGAGAGAGGAAGTTACAATGTGGAGATAAAAGAATTTGAAATAGTACAGAATTTTAAATATCTAGGTGCAGTAACAGATGAGAAAAATAATATAACACGCCATACAAGAAATAATAAGGCATATTATGCCAACCTACAGTTACTAAAATCTAAGTATGTAAACAGGAATATGAAAATGAAAATATATAAAACATTAATACGTCCCATAGTAACATAGAGCAGTGAGACATGGGTGTTAAAGGAGGAGGATGAAAATAATTTAAGAAGATTTGAAAAAATAAAAAAAGAAGAGCAGTGGAGATTCAAAAACAATGAAGAAATAGATGAGATATTGAAGAAGGAAGATACAGTTAGATTTATAAAGGCAAGAAGAATTGACTGGGTGGGACACGTAGAAAGAATGAATGCTAAGACAATGCCACTGAAGTTCTTGTATGAGAAGATCTATACTAAAAAGGTAAAAGGTAGGCCAAAATTGAGGTGGCCTGAGGTCAGAGAAGACCTTGGGATATTGAAAGTTGAAGATTGGAGGTCCCCTGCGATGGACAGAGATGATTGGAGGCTGTTGGTGCAGGAGGCCAAGGCCCACAAAGGGCTGTAGAGCCAGTTGGTGTGTGTGTGTCTGTGTGTGTATATTTTCTATATGTTAAATAATTGCAAACAATGAAAAACTCCAAGTTATGGGACCTCTCTGTCAGTAGAATGACAGGCTGGGCTGCATGGCCAAGGTTCAATTACCAGCAGAAACAAAAGTTTTTCTTTTCTCCACAGCATCCAGACAGGCTCTGGGGTCCATCCAGCTTCCAATCCCTACCCCTGGCAGTAAAAATGCCTAGCCATGAATGTGACCACTCATCTATATCTAATGCCAGGGTCAAGAATGGTGCAGCCATATCTGCACTCCCTGTACACCTCCATGGCAAGGTGCTTAATTAATTAAGCACATGGACAACTTTACTTTCATAACTTTAGGTGATAAATTTCATTTAGAGATCATATGAGAATTTCACAGTGGTTTAATTTTGATGTTGATTCTGTTTTTGGATGACAGTACCAGAGATGCAGCTTCATTGGTGACATTTTAAAGCCTGCTATATATGTGTGTCTACATTCACTCCAAAATACAGCATGAACGAAGTACTATAAAGGAAGCTTTGACATTTCAGCAGTCAAAAACACTTGTATGAGCATAACATTTCAGTACTTACGGTAAACTCTGGTAAGATTTGCTAGTGCCCAAATGGCCCAATGCTGACATTCAGGTGTGTGATAAACCTTTGACAGGTAAAGAATTGGCTCAAATGACCTACAGAAACAAGGAAGAGAATTAGGAAATAAACACTGCCTTTCACATTTTTGCCAAAACAGAATAGTTACTGAGTTACCTGTAATTAATATTTCTTTCTGTTTCAAGGTCCCAGCGATCAATAGCTGCCACCATTCTCTGCAACACATCTTCCCGTCTAGGAGATTTCACTGTCCAAGCTGCGGGTCCATCAGATGCCATGTGGGATAGAACACCTGCTGCATTGTAACTAATCTAATGAAAAAGAGCCACAGTATGGTTAACCCCAACCCTGCATGGGAATAAGGCTGTCATCATCACTGATGCAGACAGTTACACCACCAATAAAACGTTTTTATTTTCAACATATTTCCAGCATTTACATGCTGGTGGGAAATTCAAACATACTTACAAAGGACTTTTCCACGAGACTGCCTATACAAGGTATGAAATATCCTCTTGTGGCCTACAGAACAGTTCTTAAGAAGCAAATTTCAGCATCGCTAATTAAAAAATTCCTTGCACTTTTGGGATTTCTGATTTCAAACAAACACTTCAAATGTCTCAAACAAAGTAATGAACAATGAATCAACAACATTTCAGTGTGTTTCTTGAAAAGTTCATTCACTCAGCTGGTCAAGAAAATCCCACATCTTTATAAAATCTGAAGGTCAATTACCGCCAATGGACCTCATCTTGAACCAGCTGAATCCATTTCACACTCATATCCTACTTATAGTACCCATTATTAAAAATATGTTTCCATCACCTAACACACTTATGTGTTTCTGACACAATAAAATTTCAGGCTTGCTGACTCTGACTACTTATGTGGGTGGTGTAGCTCAAAATGCATCATCACATCACAATTTCTGAAGTGTTTGCATGCAGTTTGATGCATGGTTATGAATATGGGGAAGGAGGTCAATGGGAAATCATATGGAGCATCCTGCTTGATTTAATCACCCTTACAATAATGATTAATGAGAACAAACTCCAATGTTCCCCATGAAGTTTTCTCCATCTTTGTTTCACTTTCTCTCTCTTGGGTATTCTCCTTCTCATTCCTCTACGTACCATTCTCAGATATTCAGTGTTTCACGTCTACACTCCAGAACTTAAACCATTTGGCACTATGGCCACACTAACACAACCAGCATCATGAAAGCCTATTGTGGCATGAACATGTTCCAAGGTTTCATGAATACAGGAAGAAGCTGTAAACATGTCAAAGCTTTGCAAGCCATCTATATGCATGTGGCACACAGTGGGAGTAATCAGAACGTCTTACTGAACTTGCTGTTTTGCTTACAAGGCCACAGCTTTCATTTGCAAATACCAAGGTAGTTTATAAATATATTATATGGACTCAACCAAGTATGAGTTTATGTGGCAAGCAGGAGACATTCTGTACTTCAAACTTGGAAATGAAGTGAACAAAATCCGACAAAACTGTCGATCAAAGGGAAGTGATACAGAAACATTCAGAGAGTAAGTCATACTGAGATACTGATAAAAAAACCAGAAAGTGACAGAAATTACACTGGCAATGCTAAACGTGTAAGATGTCCAGTAAAGACTTCTTACCTAAATTGAACAACAGCAAGATTAACAGTTCAAGAATTTGATGTTTCAGGCTTAGATGTGAAACCTGGAATATTTACTGAAGACTCAACTGAAGCACAATATTTCAAGACCATCCTTCCTGAACATATCCTGGACATTCTTACTGCAAAGACAATATATATATATATATATATTGTGACGTGTCGCGCTAGCTGAACCCCCCCCCCCAGAGCTGACGCGCCGAGCGGAGCCAAAGTTAGCTGAGTCCCAGCGTCCTGGTAGCTATGCAACGCGAGTCAACAGCGGTGACGTACGACGGCATGAGGTAACAGCGTTGCTAGGCTATACGCAGACACTGTTACGTGGCACGCAACAACGCTCTTGACGTGGGCAACAGGTAACAGCGAACAGAATAAAAGCTGGCTGAGCAGCAAGCGAGAGTTAGTGTGTGATCAACAGTTCTCAAGGCAGCAGCCTACGAGTGGAGTTGAAATATAGCCGTCATCGGAGATAGTTAAAGTGTATCAGCGGCCGAAGACAGTTCTCCAGTCAGCAGTGAACGAGTAAAAGTGTGATAATCAGTGACAGTTTGTGATAACTGAGAATTAATTGGGAGTGTGTAACACAGTGACACTTGT